TACCTTATTTTTTGCAAGGGATTCTTGAAATTTGATTATATTAGAACAAGAAATGTCATTTTATAGTGTTTTTTGCAAGGGAAAGCGGATTACAACAAAACAACCGGATCTTGATCACCTCGAATTACCTGAGGCTTCCTCACGAAAATGATGAAAACGTGGCTGCGGCCTAGGCGCGGCGGGGGGGGCGCGCACCAGGGGGCCCAACAATAATTATTCTTTAGAATTAATAATGTTCAACAACAATCATTTAAGACTGGGGACACTCCGTTCTCACCAGTGCCAGGGTTTTCATAGGAGGCGGGCAATACCCCCACTTTGTGGGGGGGCCGGTTCAAGCTCTACCAAATTTCCAAACGACTCTTCGCCACCACCCACACCCAGCTTCCCGCCCTATGACGTTCGGACACTTCACTTCGTGGCATGCGGACGACCGTGGCTACTATTCAGGGCCCCGCGGCCGACGACGACGGCGTGCGCGCGCGAAGAAAAAACGAATGTGTCCAATATGGTATTATTTGACAGGGATGATGGCCCTGGCATGCGCGCAACCGTTGTTGCAGAAGTTCGAAGCACGTGAAAAAGTTGCTCGCAAGAGCCCGTTTGACAGAAATGTTGAAAAAATATTGGGTTTCCTCAGAAATCCGCAAGAGCGCGCAAGATGAATTTTTGAAACTTTTGTTTTGAAAAACCATTGGGTTTTTCATGTTTTTATGTTAAAATCGCTACGAAAACTAAGGTTTTGGAAGGATTTCATCTTGCGCGCGCGAGTGTGCACTTCGTGTCATTTGTTTCAAAGGATTCTTGAAGTTTGGTTATGTTAGAACAAGAAATTTCATTTTATAGTGTTTTTTGCCAGGGAAAGCGGGCGTCAACAAAACAACCGGATCCGGACACCCACGTTTTGCCTGAGACTTCCTCACGAAAATGATGAAAATGTGGCTGCGGCCTAGGCGCGGCGAGGGGGGCGCGCACCAGGGGCCCCAACAATAATTATTCTTTAGAATAAATAATGTTCAACAACAACAACAACAACAACAAGAACAACAATGACAACAACAACAACACCAACAACAACAACACCAACAACAACAACACCAACAACAACACCAACAACAACAACAACATCAGCAACAACAACAACAACACCAGCAACAACAACAACAACAACTCCAACAACAACACCAACAACAACAACAACAACAACATATCAAACATAATAGACGCATCGTCCCCAAACAATCTTGCTTTAACTTTTGGAAGATCCTCCTGCAGAGGGGCACGCCGGGCCAAAGCCAACGGGGGAAGTGAGAAGGAGAAGGAGGCCATCTGAGAATGCGGCGGGGCTTCTCAGAAGCCCTCCGGCCATCTGCGTTGTTAACAAAATCGCGACCAGAAATTTATCGCCAGGGGTCCAGACCTCTGGGGGTCGACGTTGTGAACAAAAATCGCGACGTCGGGAACCTGGCAAGTGAGAAGGAGGAGGCCTTCTCGGAAGGCGGCGGGGCTTCTCAGAAGCCCTCCGGCCTTCTGAGATCTCTCTTGTGCCCTCGGGGGAGGCTTAGAGCACCTCTCAAAAGGCCTGGGGACTTCCGAGCCTTCCGAGAAGGCCCGCCCCATTCGCACTTCCCCCCCGGGGCTCGCCGCCGAGATGGGCAACGAGCTGGGACAGTGCGGCGCGTCGACGGGTACCCCCTGGCGGTAGTCGAAGCCACAGTTGCCGTCCACGATGGTGCCTGGCTTGCAGAAAGCCCCCTGAAACCCTGTGGCAAAGCGACTTTGCCCCGGTCCTGCTTCGCCAAGCTCGCTTCAAACGGGGTGTTTCGCCCGGTTGTCTTGGGTCGGGCGTGTCCTCCTACAGGCGGAATGTGGACGAAACAAGAATGTTATCGAGCATCGTGAAAACTTCGTCCCCAGACTATGCTTTGCCTATCTTTGAATACTTCTCCTGTAGAGGGACATGCCCGACTTAACGGTGGTCGCTTCGCCCAGGGTGTCGCTTCGCCCTCGGGTTAGGTCGGGCAATATCCTCCTATAGGTGGACTTGGGAGGAAAAATGAAAATAGTCAAACACATCCAACAAATTTTCCCACTAAAATTGTCCCCTGACTATTTTTGGACTACTAGTCCTCCTGTAGAGGGAATGCCCAACGTAACCCTCGGGCTTCCCCCACCCCCCTCGCCACGCATAATGGTCTCCCTCCATCCTCGCCCAACTGCTGCTCCTCTCCTCCATCCTATCGCCCCTTCGATGCGAGCGAGATTAGATTAGGCCAAGGCTTCCACTTAATTGTGCCGATCAACTATTGACCTGCTGGGGGGCCCAATTGAAGCAAGGATTACCATGCACTGTGTTGGTGAAAACGGGTCTGGAAATGGTGCACTACGTTGGTGAAAACGGGTCAGGAAACGATGCGAGCGAGGGTGAGAGGGAGCGGGAGGGAGCTGACTACGGTTAAGCTGGGCATATCCCTCTACAGGAGGAGTGTTCAAAAACAGACAATCAACAGTCCGGGGATTATGTTCTCACCAATATTGACAAGTTTTGAATATGATTGACTACTTGTTTCGCCTGAAATCCGCAGGAGGACACGCCCGACCTACGACTACGGCAAATTCGCGTCGCGTCGACCCCGGCGGTGGTTCCTGACACCGCGGGGATCGTTCAAACTTGAGCGATCGGCCTTTCCGTCAACGACGGATCGTTCAACGACGGGCCGATTCTGGCACTGGCCACCCTTTCATGAAAGAACGTCAACAGCAGACGTAACAAACTCCTCATCAATCGCAGATGAGATTTAAAAACTTTCGAGAAGCCCCCAAGAGCAGCAGAAAACATCCGAAGACCTCCGACGGCACCGAATACTTAGGGAGGCTCCCGAACAGCAGTAGGGAGGGTCTCCGGACACGCTACCGATGGCCTCCCGCGCGCACCCGAGAACCTGCAGAGGCGCCCGAAGACCTGCGAGACCGTCGAACACGCCTGCACGGCCTTGAGATTGGGCACCCGGATTCTCCACGATAGACCTGGACTTGGCCGGACCTTGCCCTGAGATCCTGGCGTTGATTGTTTCGGCGGCCAGCCTGGGGGGGAAGTGAGAAGGCGCGGGTTTCTCAGAGGGCTCGGAAGTCACCACGGCCTCCTGACAAGTGTTCTGAACCTTCCCCGAAGACATGAGACAACCTCTCAAGGGCGCGAGGGCTTCTGAGAAGCCCCGCCGCCTTCTGAGACGGCCTTCTCCTTCTCATTTTCCCCCCTCGCTCGCCGCCGATGTTTGCAACGGGCTTGCCTTGATTTAGGTTGGGCATGTCCCCCATACAGGCGGATTTTGCACGAAAAATAAAAAATAGCCCAAAAATGATCAACTAAATCATCCCCACATGATTTGTTACTATTTCCCCGACTTAGCCTTGATTCGGGCCCCGCGGCCCTCACGGAGCTCGATCCTGTCCGAGAGAAAAAAAATACTGCAGGCAGACGGGGTCCGGAACCTGCGTGCCAAAGTCTTCGCTGCAGCTCTATCCCAGGAGGGCTCCTGCCTGAAGAGATGACTGCCTAGCGGACCACAGCAACCTTCGGTCGGGCGTGTCCCCCTACAGGCGGATTTCTGACGGAAAAAAAGCCTCGCAAAACTTCAACAGCGGTCACACACGATGAACAAAATCGTCCCCACGTTATGTTCTGACTATGTTTGACTACTCCTCCTGTAGAGGGGCATGCCCGACGTAACACCAACCCAACCCGAGGACCCAGATTTCGGGTGGGGGTGGGGTACGGATTCCATGTGTCTCTTTCCCTACAGGGCAGTTTTTAATACATAAGATTTTTATAATATCGGATTTCTAATGCATGATTCATTCATGGATTAATTAATGCATTAAATAAATTAACTCATCGTCGCTTTTAATACTAAATCCTTGCATTTTTAATACATGGTCCGCACGCGGAGCATGTATTAAAAATGGCACTGTACGTTCTCCGACGCCCCCCCCCCACTGGGAATGGACGACAGATCTGGTCCTTCGGGTCGGGTTGGGAGTGGTTTTGTGGGGGGGGGGGGGCAGCACCGGACAGCACCCTCACGGGGTAGAGCGCGGTCCGAGAAAACAAAAAGCTCGGGCCGAGCGCAAGCCAGGGGAGAAACCTGGCGCGAAAGCGGGACGCCCGAAAATCAGGACTCCTCCCCTTAACCATCCCCTGCCTCCCCCTCCCCGTCCCCCTCCCTCTCCTCCTCCTCTTCCTCCTCCTTCTCCATTCCTGCTCCTTATAAATAACTTCTCCCTGTCCCATCCCGAGGCTGGAAATTACGGCGGTCCGGGCGCTTCGCTTGTTTCCTCACAATGCCCTGAAACTTCAAGGTTGAGAACCGTTCAACAGATGGACGGCGGGTCGGTTTCAGAATTTGACTCTCGCGTCAGCGCCGCGCACACTCGTTATAAACATTTGCAAAGGTTTCACAGATGGAGGGCGGGTCGCGCACAATCGTTTTCAATCTGTGCAAGAGGTGCACGGATTGAAGGCGGGTGGTTATCAAAATGTGGTTCTCGCCTGAGCGCCGCGCACATTCGTTTTCAACCTGTGCGAGAGCTGCACGGATTGAGGGCGGGTGGTTCTCAAAAATGTGGCTCTCGCCTGAGCGCCACGCATATTTGTGTTTAACCTGTGCAAGAGCTGCACGGATTGAGGGCGGGTGGTTCTCAAAAATGTGGCTCTCGCCTGAGCGCCGCGCGCATGTGTTTTAAACATGTGCAAGAGTTTCACGCATTAAGGGCGGCTCTTTTTTGTCAAAATGTGGCTCTCGCCATGGCGCCGAGCACATCCGTTGTACAAATCTGCAAGAGTTTCACGGGCTTCTATGATCAGGGTACCAAAAAAAATGATTTAGGAAGGGTTCTGGATGCAGTGGGTGCAACAGTTACGTTGGTTCGCGGTGGTGACGTCCCAGGAATGCTGTTCTGGCACGGTTCAAGATCGTCACGACGCAAAACTCAGGTTGATCCGTGGCGTTGGACTCCCGAGAACAATGTTTTGACAAGTTTCACGCTCTTCAAACGATTGTCTTCCAACGAAGCAGTTCCCTCAGTGGACATGAGCCGTCGTAGGGGCCTATGAAGAGGGAGCTTGGAGGGAGGGTGTATTCCAACATCGTTGACGACTGTTGGTTTTGCACTGGTCCTCCTCCTCCTCCTCCTCCTCCTCTTCCTCCTCCTCCTCCTCCTCCTACTCCTCCGACTGATTCACAAGCGGCGCACGTATTAGAGGCCAGTTAGATAGGGTCCGAGCAGACGGGGTCGGAGGACCGCGCCGCATCGCCGATGCAGCGGCGACGCATCGTCGACGTCAGCGATGCATCGGCGACGTCGGCGTGAAGCAAATCGGGCTCCACAGCGGGCCGCATCGCCGATGCATCGGTCATGCATCGGCGATGCGGGGCGATCCTCCGACCCCATCTACTCGGACCCCATCTGGAAGGATAGAGAATGAGGACATCTGCCCTAACCACCACCTGCCCTGCTTCACGAGCGGCGGACGCATCCATATCCACGCCCTCCGGGTCTGGATTCAGGGGCGCGATCCCGTGCATATGCGCGGTCGCATGCATTGTCGTTCCGTGCGGGGCACCGCGCACAGAACGCCCCAACATACACGGGGTCGCGGCCAAGAGGCTGGGCCCGCGAAGCTGTGGATACGGCTACCCAGACCCCCTCGCGCTGTGACAAAGAAAATCACGACGGGAGGCTTGTCGCTGTTTTCTGCGTCCAGGGGCCCCCACCAAGCCCCGGGACCATCATGAAAAAGCTCAGGATGAGAAACCGGTCCTGGGGAAAAGGTCCAGACCTCTGGGGTTATGTTGTTTCCATCGTACTTCAGGACCACATCCCACAAAAATCATTTCGAGCACCCCGAAGAGGATCGAGACAGGGCCTGCCCGACACGCCAGCGAAACGTCGAGCGAGGACCGCTTCCAGGGGCCGGACACGGGACAACCATGCAGCTGCGTTGTTGTTTGGGGGGGGCACCGAAAGACTGCACCTCCATTGATGAAGGGGCCCCAGGACACACAAATAAATACACACAAATAAAACTATCCCCCATATCTTCCCATATTTTCTAGGTTCCTGTCTTCCCCCCCACTTCCCATATTTTCCCATATTTTTTGGGGAATCGAGGATTAATTGTGTCTGTGTGATTCTTTTCCTCTTGAATTGAAACAGCCTGCAGAGCGGCAGGGCGAAAGCACCTATAGACTTGCACCGCGGCCGGCCGGCCATGCAGCGGCGGCGGCATTCCCCTGGTGCTCGCTAAACTGCTCTCGGCGATCCGGGCTAAAGAGTATACTCCAGATTTCGTAATAAAGGGAGGGGGGTCTCATTTCGGGGGGGGTCTCTTCCAGGCTATCTTGGAGGGCCTGGGGGGTCTGGGGACGATGTTTTGGAGGGTTCTCCCACGGGGGGGGGGTCTAAAACTTCTCGTCTGGGAGGGTTGGGACCCCCTCTCTTTTATCACGAAATCCGGAGTAGGCTTGCACACCGTCGCTCCGGGCGTCGCCTGCGCGTGACCAACATAAAACCGGGCCATAGGATCGGGATACATCGCTCCAGAGCGTTCGCGGCGCGCTCTCAGAGCGTGCCGGAACGCTCTCAGAGCGGCCGCGGCGCCCAATCCATCCTCCACACCCGCCGAGTCTCCGAGATTCCGAGGTATCCCGATCCGATGTTGTCCCGATCCTCGTGTCGTTTGAGAAAACCCCCGACGTCGGGGGCCCGGGCGCCGCCGGGCCGCGGCCCCGGGGGCCGGCCCTGGCCCGCGGAGCCCCGCGGCGCACGCCTCGGCTCCGCCCCCTCCCCAGGGGCGGGCTCGATCCTCCCGCGGGCGGCCTCGCTCGACGGCCCCGCGGGGGCCCTCCCCGGAGGCCGCAGAGCGCCGCCGGGCACCGCCCCTCGTGGCCTTCGCAGGGCGCGAGCACGTCTGGCACGAGCCTCCACCGCTCCCCCCCGACCTGCCCTCGGCGGCGAGCCCGGGGGTGGAGCGAGAGAGAGAGCGGCCCTTCTCGGAAGGCTCGGAAGCCCCCGAAGTCCCCAGGCCTTCTGAGAAATGTTCTGAGCCTTTACCGAAGACGCATCGTTCTCCCAGAAGGCCGGAGCGCTTCTGAGAAGCCCGGACGCATTCTGAGAAGGCCTTCGCCTTCTCACTTCCTAAAACCCCCGACCTCGTGATTTTGTTCGCAACGTCGACCCCGAGAGGTCTGGACCTTCCCCGGGACGGGCTTTTCCTCCTGAGTCGCTTTGTTGACGGTCCTGGGGCCCGGTACTTAAGGCCCCTGGAGACCTAAAATAGCAACAAAACTCCCGTCCACGCGCCAGCATCCCGCGAGCGCGTTTCGGCGCAGCCCGCCTGGGACGAAGCGGTCGTTGCCGAGCAGGCTCACCAGGCAGCCGGCGCGCGCGCCCGCGGGGTCTGCAGGCACCGCGGCCAGCAGGTCCAGGAGTGCCTGCTCCGCCTCCAGGGGGGGGGGGGGGGGCAGGGAGAAAAGGGGAAGTCGTCCCTCCAAGCTCCCCCCTACCTCCGTCCTCCTCCTGCACACTCCTCGCTCCTATTCCCTCCCTCGTCCTCCTCGTCCTCCTCCTCCTCTTCCTCCTCGTCCTCCTCCTACTCCTCTTCCTTCTCCTCTTCCTCCTCGTCCTCCTCCTCGTCCCCTCCTCGTCCTCCTCCTCCTGAGACCCTGACGCCCCGATGGGCGAGAAAGCCGTGCGACGCTGCCCCCCTCCAGGGGCCAGTCGGCCCTGGGGGGGATGATCAAACTAGTGAGCCAGGCGACTCCTGGGCCCGTCGCCCCAGTAGTCGCCCAATGGGAGGTATAGTGCAAGGTCGGCGGTGGCATCAATATATACATATATATATATATAAACACATCTAGAACCCCTCCTCCTTCCTCCCATCCTCCATCCCTCCGTTCCCTCCCTCCCTCCCTCCAACTCCTCCTCCTCCTCGTCGTCGTCGTCCTCCTCCTCCTGCTGCTCCCTCCGCCTCCCTACCTTTTTGCGTTATGCAGACTTTGGGCGGAGCTCGCAGCGTCGTGCAACATGACTCGAATGGGCAAGCGAGGAAAAAATCTCAGATAGAAACACGTGCAACTCAAACAGATCTGGTGTGGCAAAGTGCCGGAAGGTGAGAAGATTGGCAATGCGAAGTCCCTCCTCCTCCTCCCCCTCCTGCCTCCCTCCCTCCCTCCTTCCCTTCCTCCTCCTCCACCCGCCCCTTCCTCCTCCTCCTCCTCCTCCTCCTCCACCTCCTCCTCCTCCTCCTCCACCTCCTCCTCCTCCTCCTCCTCCTCCTCCTCCTCCTCCTCCCCCTCCTCTGTTCCTCCTCCTCCTCCTCACCCTCCTCCTCCTCCTCCTCCTCCTCCTCCTCCTCCTCGCTAATGGGCCTGGCCTTTGGCTGCTACAGCTGGGTAGATTCAGATGTCCGAACACAAGGAATTCGTGTTTCTTCCCGACTATGTTTAAAGGAACAGAAGATGGAAGCGGACAGGATGATTCACCTCAGGAGCGGAAACGCGGGCGATCACAACTGCTGAACCGCCACGGACACACCACAACGTCCATTCGGAGATGGGGAAAGATGCTCCGACGCCAGGCATGGCCCTACATCCGCGCAGGCCACAGGAGCTACTCTACCCATGCCTTCACAGTGCGCTACGCAAGGAACCCGCACTCCCTCCTAGAACGCGAAGCGTCTGTGAGACGTAGTTGTGGTCGCATGTTGCTACTCCTGGGGCTGTGGCGGAGCTCGGAGCTCGGACTGCAGCTGTCGCTGGCCGGGGCGTCGCAGGGGGGCGCCCCAAGGCACGAGTGGCCAGCGTGGACCCCAACCAAAGAAAGTGGGGAAAGATCGGCCAGCGTGGACCCCACGCACGAGACCAGGGCACCGCGAGCATGGAGGCTATGTGCTGCACGCAGTGCGGTGCCAGCTGTGTGGTGTGCAGTGCACGCGGCGCATGCCAAGGAGGCGGCAACGGGGCGGCAACGGGGCGAGATCTCGCCGGACCCAGCCGGCGCACGAGGCGGCAGCGGGGCGGCAGCGGGTGGCAGCAATTGCACGCGAGACCTCGCCGGGCCCTCCGAGTTCCACGGCAACCGAAGCAAGAGCCCCCAAGTGCAAGCACTGCTTGAGGAATATGGTGCACAAGTGCAAATCCAGATGAATCCATAAAACGTGGTAGTGCATCATGCTGCTAGCCGTTCCTCAAACAGAGCTTCATCAAACGATGTTCAACGGAAACGGAATCTGATCCCACAAAATCCCCGGACAAACCCCCCGGACAACCCGGACAACCCCTCCAAAATGCATGCCATTAGCGTCCCAGCATGTGTTTGTGGCTGGCGACCGAGCAGCAGCACAATACCCACTTCGGGAGGTGGCCGGCGCTGAGTCTAAAGCACCACGCCTAATGATGAGGCGGCATGTGGTCAGCGCGAAGGCGACAGCACCAATCCCAGGCGGAGATGTAGCCAGAGCTCGGGCGAGAGCTCCGTTCCTAAGCACGGATGTTGCTGGCACACGAGCGGCAACACCAGACGTACCCAATGAAGGAGGTGGCCAGCGTTGAGGCGAGAGTACCGTTCCCAATCAGGGACGTGGCCAGCGCGCAGGGTTGCGATGATGTCTCCAGCGGAACTGGCCAGACCACCTCTCGCGCGGCATCTCCGAACCCAGAACTGTAAGGCTGTCTCGGGTGAAACTGTCTGGAACACCTCTGGTCAGAGCACCTCTGAGCTCAGAGTTACGAGACTCAGGCGAAACTTGCCAGACAACTTCGTGCCAGGCATCCTTGAGCCCTAAGTCTGGAGGAAGTCTCATGGGAAACTGGCCAGGCCACCTCAGGCCAGAGTACATCGGAGCCCAAGATGTTGCGAGGATGTCTCATGCAAAATTGCCCAGACATTTTTTTGCGTGGTATCTCGGAGCCCAGAGTTCTCAGGAGATCCCATGCGAAACTAAGGGAACAATCTCGTACGCGGCATCCAGGAGCCTAGAGTTGCGACGTGGTCGCAGGCGAAACTGGCCGGACCAACTCTCACGCGGCATCTTTGAGCCCAGAGTTGCGAGGATGTCTCAGGCGAAATGGGCTGGATAACACAGTAATGCGCGGCATGTCGCAGACGAACCTGGCTGGACCACCGCAGGTCGAAGCATAGGAGCCCAGCGTTGCGAGGATACCTCAGGCGGAACTGCTTGGGGCGCCTCGCATGCACCTTCTCTGAGCCCAGAGCTGCGAGGACGTTCCAAGCTTTCAGACTGGCCGCACCAGCTCTCGCGCGTCATTTTCCGAGATTTCAAAAAGGACTGGTCCGCACCCCCTCCAGGGCCCACTGGAACCGGAGTTGCGAGGACGTGTCAAGCGAAATTGGTTTGAAAACGTCGCGCGCGGCAGACCTGAGCCCATAGTTGCTGGGATGTCTCATGCGACGCTGGCTGGGCCACTTCACGTCACGGCAGATCCGAGTTGCGAAGATATCTTAACCCAAACTGGCTGGACAGCCTTCCGCGCGTCATCTCGGAACCCGTAGAGGCGAGGAATGCCTTGGCGGAAGTGGCTGGACAATTTCACGCGCGACATCTCGGAGCCCAGAATTGCGGGGATGTCACAAGCGGAACTTACCAAGCCACCTCTCGCGCGACTTCTGCAAACCCACAAATGTGACGGGCCGCGCGCGCTGCGCTGCGCGCGCCGCTGCCGAAGCAACAGCCGCCGGCAAAACCGTCATCGTCGTAGTGGTGGTCCGTCTCCTCTTTTCCCCTCCTCCTCCTCCTCCTCCTCCTCCTCCTCTTCCGCCTCCTCCTCCAACCCTCCTCGCCCTCCATCTGTTTCTTCGCCTCTCCGTCGGAACCGAACGGGGGGGCGAGGAGGAGAGAGGGGATGAGAAACCAGAGGAAAATCGAAGACGATAGGGGGAAATCGCTGTGGTGATTGCATCAAGCGTGGCTGCGGTGTGACGGTCGCTGAAATGCCCCACGTGCTAGCGAGATTTCGTGCAGTGCGATCGTGGCCCCTGTGGCTGCGGCCCCCGAAGTCGCTCCCACGCGGGAAGACCACTGTGACTGCTGCGGTGCGGGTCCCCGAGTGGGCTCTCGTGCGAAGCAGCTCGCGTGCGGCGCGCCTTGGCGTTCCTGATGGTATCGGTGCCCGAATCGCCTCCTGCACGACGTGTCTCTCACGCGACGAAACGTGGTGATCCTCGGAACGGTGGTATTTGACTTGGTTCCCGCACGACTTGGCACGCACACGGCGCACCATACGACTTTGGCTGCAATGGTCGTTGACGCTTCGCCCGCGCGAAGAAGAGGAGGAACAGCAATGGGAGGACGACGAGGACGAGGGGGGGAGGCGGAAGTTGAGGCTGGACAACCCCTGGGCAACCCCCTGGACAAACCCGTAGACACCCCCCTGAAAACCCCCTCCCCGTTCTCCTGTTTATGGTTCGGTCCCCTCTTCTGGTTCGCGCTGCTACTTCGCATCCATTCGTTCTTTTATAAATACTACTTCTAGTTCCTCGTCAGCGCTTGTATCCCTCGCGAATATATTCGTCCTCATCCAATTTTCGTTTCGCGTCGGCCGCGCGCGGCTCCCGCCTACTTCGCGCGCGAGCACCCCCCACGAACGACACTAGCAAACAACGTTTTTTTTTTGCAGCCCACCACAAACGCCCGACACGACATGCCGCAGCGGGCGAGTGTTGCCAAACGGTAGCGGCGGAGCAGCGAAAGTGCTGCACTGCAACCCACCGTCCGAAGATCCGCCTGAAGCTAGTTGGGCGAAGTCTGGGTCACGCCAGACCATCCGTAAATTAATTGCGGCCAACTCGTTCAAGCGTGCAGCCCCCAGGACTACCTCGAGCGCCTAGGCGTCGGTTGAACCGCGTCGGCAAACGTAGTCGAAGCGAATTGCCCTCCCGAGCAATGCGAAGCGGGGCCTTTGCGCAAGCGGGCAACAGGCGCAGCACGCAGCCGCGAGCGCCCGGCAAGGCGCCGGTCGATGAAGGGCCTGCGGGAGCTGCGCGCGACGATGCGCAGCGAGACACACAACATCTGCCGCGCTGCCCCCACCGAAACGCAGTTCACCAAGAAGGAGTAGCGTCTGCCCGCGAGCCGGCAGCCGCTCCTGCATGCACAACCCAACATTGGCACCATCCGAATTGGAGCACAACGTGGGCACGGCAACGTGCGCCGCAAGCGAGCGAGCACGCTGGGGGTAAGCTTCCCGGCATGCCCCCCGGTGAGCACTTTGTTACCGGACATCCGGTACGCCGTCATAGACGGCGGCGAGCCTGCGGAGGGCTCGCGAGATGAGCGATATTCCCACTACTACACTGCTGCTTTCTGCTCCTGGTCTGATCTTCCTCAGCCTTCTCTCCCACCTCCACCTCCACACTTCCTCCTCTTACTACGATGCTTTTCCACCTCCTCGACCTCCTCACCCTCCTCAGCTTTCTGTCTC